CCTGATTATTTTTGTGAAATCTATGTCTTTTAGTCTCAAAACTATGTGTTGTGGTCCTTCTTTAATGTGTTGTGTTATGACGTCATGAAAAATATGTACGTGATGGAGAAAAATAGATATCATTTTTGTATTCAGCGTACAGAAATTACAGTAGAACATGTAAAAATTTCAAGACAATAAAACCGTCACAGGCCTGTGTAATAAATCAAGTAGAAAATGTCAGTAATTGCCTATCTCTAGTCCTTGGAGTGTTCCTTCTATTCACTGTTGTAATTTTTCTTACAACAAAAAAAGCCAACCTGAAATAACAGTTTTTCTTTTAATTCTTTTCTTTTCTGCAATTGGAAACTGATGATTTTGTAAACTACATATATTCTCCCTTCCAGACAGCAGTGTTAGTGAGATTGAAGATTGTTTCAAGAACTTTGTGAAACGAGGTGATATAGACATCATCCTTATTAACCAAAATGTGAGTAAACATCACTTCTGGTATGTAATCAGTAAATATATATTCAAATAGATCTTGTATCATTTATGTACAGTGAAGCTATATCTGGTCTTTGGTGAAATTAAAACTTAGAATTTTTTCTTTGCATTAAACATAGGTTTTTATTTCATGTTGCATTTGCATCACTTACAAATTCTTAAAATATAATTGAAAATAAACTCACTACTAGGCAAGTAGATAGAAATATGTGCTTATTTTGACACTGATTATATCACCTGTTTTATCATGCACATGTTAATTTATTTCTGACTAACTTTAAACTGTTACGTTGTTACTGTGAATTCACTTTAAAACAAAATGAAACTTGTTGCAGATTGCAGAAATGATTCGTCATGCTATTGACAACCATCTAGTCCCCATTCCAGCTGTTTTAGAAATACCATCAAAAGACCACCCTTATGATCCAACCAAAGACTCAATCTTAAGAAGAGCAAAGGTAATACATGTTATCAATCATCATTCAGAGATTAGGAATAAAATGTAAAATATTATAATAATTCTCAAATTGTTTTGTTTTTTCTCTCATAGCAGTGAAACACAGAATCATTTTTATAGTGGCGGAACTCTTTTCATAGTTTAAGATTTAAATATTTATGTGTGTGTGGAGGGGCTTGCTAGAACACATTCTTGTTATCTTATTGTGGAGGCATGCTAGAGCATATTCTTGTTATCTTATTGTGGGGGCTTGTTAGAGCATTTTCTTGTTATCTTATTGTCGGGGCTTGCTAGAGCATTTTCTTGTTATCTTATTGTGGGGGCTTGCTAGAGCATTTTATTGTTATCTTATTGTGGGGGATTATTAGAGCACATACTTGTTATCTTATTGTAGGGGCTTGCTAGATCATTTTCTTGTTATCTTATTGTGGGGGCTTGCTAGAGCATTTTCTTGTTATCTTATTGTGGAGGCATGTTAGAGCACATACTTCTTATCTTATTGTGGAGGCATGCTAGATCATTTTCTTGTTATCTTATTGTCGGAGCTTGCTAGAGCACATTCTTGTTATCTTATTGTGGGGGCTTGCTAGAGCACATACTTCTTATCTTATTGTAGGGGCTTGCTAGAGCACATTCTTGTTATCTTATCATTTTAAAACTTTTTCTAAAAAGCTAAAGTATAATGATGTCACAATAAACACAATCATTTTCCTCGGTAATTTTTACCAATTTTGTACAGTAGGTGGCACATTTTAACTACTGTCTCCCTCCATATATACCATTTAATTTTAACATCCTTACCATATCATACTGTTGTTTTAATGGCAGGTTTCACTATGTTCGGGAAAGAAAAAAAAAGGCATTTTTTTTTAATATTCCTGTCTTGGAAACAAGACTTAGTAATTAATAGGTTAATTAAACTGAAACTTTTTGTGTTTATAGATAGATACTTGTAATGTATTTACAAAATGCTCCTTGTTTGTAGTTTACTGGGTACACAATGATGTCTTTGTTAGATATTTTCATAATGTTTAGAAGTCATACTTTTGATTTTAGTTTTCCTTATTCCATTTTTCTTAACTTGATATTAATGTAAATTTACTGAAACAAATTCAACTTTGTCCTTATTAAAATAAAACTTTCTTTTCTGTTTAATATTAGTGAGACAAAATATGTTTTTGTTATACACTTTACAAGTTTTGAAATAAATATGTAGGTTTTGTATGGGAATATGTCCATTTGTTTTAAGATCATTCTTATTATATAATCTAAAAAACGAAAAAATGTCCTTAAACTCGGCCCTCTTGTTTAATACTGCAGTATTTTATTACTAGTGTAAAATGGTGCATTATTTATGATATTAACCGATATTTCAAATGTTTTTGTCTGTTAATACTATTTGTACTCTAATTATTCATCACTTGTTCACCAGGTGTGCAGTAATGTTTCTGATTCCATCTCATTTTGTTAGGTATTATTATAATTTTTGGCAGCCATACTTTTGACTTTATTGTAAGAATGTGAGATGTACTTGGTTTATTTAGTATATTTTTCCTACCATTGATAAGTCATACTTTATTAGGTTTCTTTTGTAATATTATCTCTTCAAGGCTTAGCAAATCATTTGGATTAAACCGTACTTTTGAAACTTTATTTTTGCTTATTGCATTTTGTATTTGATGTTGATGTAAGTACACTGAATCATAAAAATATTCAACTTTCTTACTGTCGTTAGAATAAAGCCTCGTTCTATTGTTAATAGCACTGAGACAAATATATATTTTATTTGGTCTATAAGTTCTGAAATATGTTTGTACAAGAATTAAGTGAATGTTTTTCTTTCTTTCAGGGTATGTTCAACGTAGAGGACTATCGTTAATGAAGAAGTTTCGTTTGGAAATATTAATATTTAAATGTTGCTTAAATATTGTAAGTTGAGTTGGATTAAAATTACGTACCAGGGTTATATTGTAAGTTAAATATGTATCAAATTATTGAATCATAATTGATCAACAGCCGTAGCTTGTATGCTATATATGATCTTGAATATGTGTTATATTGTTTGTGATTTACATTGTATTTTAGTATATATTCCATTCACTGATTTAAACTAGTTGATGTAAATTTACTTTAATAAAATCTGGGGTTTGATTCCCCACAGTGTACACAGCAAATAGCCCAGTGTGGCTTTGCTCTAAAACAAACAAAACTTAAATAAAAAAAATAACAGCTAATAACTTTGAAACGTGAACTTGTGAGTTAGTAATTGAAAGCATAAAAATATGTATTGCAAGCTTCTGTTTACACTCAGTTAAAAATTGCCTGCCTGAAAGTTCAGTGTGAAATATATGTACTGTTTACTTGATTATTTTAACTAATAGAAGTCTATCTTTGAATCTTGGTTCAACAAAACACCTACATCTTATCATGTTGTTTTACCACATCTTGTAGTTGTTTACGTCATACCTTCAAAGATAAGTTTCGTTAAAAGATGTTGAATATTAAACTACTTTATTATTTTGTACACGTACACTTCAGTAAAGTCAAAATCCAACAAAATAAATGATTAAACCATTTTTTCAAAGCTCTTTACCAACCGATTGCCTGTTTCATTTTTAAAGTTTTATCATAATCTCTTTTAAACTTTATTATGTTTTATCTTTTGCTAATAACGTTTGTGTGTCTCCTGGTGGGACAGTGGTAAGTCTACAGACTTGCAACACTAAAATCTGGGGTTCGATTCCCTGCAGTGGACACAGCAGATAAATCAATGTGGCTTTGCTATAGAAACAAACACCAGTTGTGAATTTTATAAATTGATATTTTTGAAACTGAAATACCTAACTAAGTTTCTCCTCATACTTAAGTAAATTACATAACTAAGTTTCTCCTCATACTTAAGTAAATTACCTAACTAAGTTTCTCCTCATACTTAAGTAAATTACCTAACTAAGTTTCTCCTCATACTTAAGTAAATTACCTTACTAAATTTCTCCTCATACTTAAGTAAATTACCTAACTAAGTTTCTCCTCATACTTAAGTAAATTACTTAACTAAGTTTCTCCTCATACTTAAGTAAATTACCTAACTAAGTTTCTCCTCATACTTAAGTAAATTACCTTACTAAGTTTCTCCTCATACTTAAGTAAATTACTTAACTAAGTTTCTCCTCATACTTAAGTAAATTACTTAACTAAGTTTCTCCTCATACTTAAGTAAATTACCTAAGTTTCTCCTCATACTTAAATAAACTTGAAACACTTCATGAAAGTGGCATGAAATAAAACTTCAGTGTAAATAAAGAATAAGTAAAAAATATTTAGGATCTACGTATTTTATTGTATAAAAAAATACAAATTCTTTGGAGAATAAGTAAAAAAAATAGCAAATTTAGTAATATAGCTTTTTTTGTGGAAAAAATAGAATAACAGATCTACTACCCTTCACTTTGAAGTTGAGCATTTTACAAATTTAAAGTCAGTATCCTAAAATTAAGTTAAATTTAGAGCTTGAATCTTTAATTTTTATATAAAAAATTTCTTTGCAAATCTATCAAGTTGATAATGTTTCTTTAGTAAGTTGTGACCTTGTAAGCATATTAAGTTGTGACCTTGTAAATGTACTAGGGCATGACCTTGAAATACTACTAAGCTCTAACCTTGAAATACTACTAAGCTCTGACCTTGAAATTACTAAGCTCTGACCGTGAAATACTACTAAGCTCTGACCCTGAAATACTACTAAGCTCTGACCCTGAAATACTACTAGGCTCTGACCCTGAAATACTACCAGGCTCTGACCCTGAAAATACTACCAGGCTCTGAAGCCTTGTAGTATTTTCAAGGTCAGAGCCTGGTAGTATTTTCAGGGTCAGAGCCTGGTAGTATTTTCAGGGCTGACCTTGTAAATACTGCCAAGCTGTGATCTTGTAAGCATACTAAGTTGTGACCTTGTAAGTGTACTAGGGCACCATCTTAAAAGTAAATAATCTGAACTCATAATTTGCAAAAATATTTTAAAGTAGGAATGTATTTTAATTGTTTTTATATTATTAAAACAATTTAAAGTAAAGATAGATGTCATTGTGTCTAAAAATGAAACTTGCATGCCAGTATGTGTGTAATAAGTTACAATTACTTTGAATTTCTGTTCTAAGAGTTGCCTTCAGTTCAGTCAGTAACCAGTAATGTAAGATTCAGAAACAGCTGGAAAGAATATAAAAGTGTCAATATGAAGAAAGAAATATTGAAAAGTTTTGAATGGTCAGTGCTTCCTCCAGCCATATTTGGAGGGTAGTTTTTAGGTGATATATATGTGGGATTATTTCAAATTTGGTGATATTGTAATTGTAAAATAAATGGTAATACAAAAGTTTTAAGTAGCTATTCTAAAAATTCTTGACCAAGAAAGAGATTAACAGTAAAATAACTCGTGGCTATTTCCTGGACAGTCATCACGTTTGATACATATCTTGTTCGGACCTCTGACCAAACCTGAATTGCAGAAACAACCTTTAACACACAAGTCTATACAAGCATCGGGAGGTTCATCACAAGTCTCCTCACATGCTGTTCCACACTCACTGAAATGTTCTCCATCTGGACACTGAGGGTTTGTACCTGTAAAAGTATATGTATAAAAACTTCAAGTCAAGTAAAAACTTGAGGCTGACTGACTGTCAAATAAAAAAAGTTGATATTTAATATCTTAAAACCAAATATAAATATCTTAGAACTGATCAAGTGTAAAAAAAAGAGTTGAGACTGACTGACTGTCAAATAAAAAAGTTGATATTTAATATCTTAAAACCAAATATAAATATCTTAGAACTGAACTTCACGGGCACAATCTAATTAAAAATGTAATTAATTATTCAAAGCTTGGGGGGCTTCGAAAGTGACAATTAGAGGCTCGATCCCTGCTGCTACCACAGCGCAGATTGGCTATTGTGCAGCTTTGCAAGTAAACTACCATCTAACGTAAAGTATGTCAAATTGTTAAGAGTTAGAAGGGAACTTCAGAATAAAATTTTGAGGAAATATGTACATTGGTGTTATCCACAGGCTAAATGCTCTGTGTGTACAATTTACTTTCTATGTTAAATGGCCAGATGGTTAGGACACTCGACTCGCAATCCATCACATCAAATATGCTCGCCCTTTCAGCCGTGGGTCACGGTCAATCCCACTGTTCGTTGGTAGCGAGTAACCAAGAGTTGGCGGTGGGTGGTGCCTTCCCTCTAGTCTTGCACTGCTAAATTAGGGACGGCTAGTGCAGATAGACCTCGTGTAGGTTTGCGTGAAATTCATAACAAACAAGCTATATGCTGAAACTGTGTCAATAATACGAGATATTTATTTGCCACAGTATTACTCGGACTAATGAACCAGACATGAAAGTTAGGGTGCTTGAGTTGCTGGACCGAAACCCATCATTAAACATGCTCACCATTGGAGCGTTATAAAGTGAAAGTCAATCCCATCATTCGTTGGTAAAGAATAGTCCAAGAGCTGGCAATGGGGCGTGTTGACAAGCAGCTGAGTATCTTTGCGCAAAATTCAACAAACAAATGCGAGTTGCGAAGAAAGATGTCGCCCAGTCGCATGTTTCCCCTTTTGTTGTTGTTGTTGTTGTTAAAAATAAATTACAATGTATTGTTATATTTAACTCTACCGAAATTATAACCAAATATGCGATGTTTAGAACAACGTTTAAGTAGCTGATTTTAGTTTTATTTTCTTGGTGACGTAACTTGTTTGTTTGTAATTAAGCACAATGGGTTACCTGTGATCTGCCCAATACGGGTATCGAAACCCGGATTCTAGCGTTGTAAGTCCGCAGACATGCTGCTGTCCCACTGGGAGGCCGGTGGCGTAGCAAGGATGTGAAGGGCTGATGAATAACACATTTGTCTGTGTGTGTGTGTGTGGTATAACCTTCACGCTGATTAACACTGATGTCACCTACTGTTACTTATTATTAAATAACTAGCAGAAACTCGCAGAATATTTGCGGTAAAAGTAGTACCTTTATTGCAACAGTACTTCTTTAATTACAGGATTTGTAGAATAATACAAAAGAATTCTAATCGTAGACACCGAAATATATAAGTCCACTTGTTTTAGGCTTAACATTAGTTAAGTCTTTATTAAGTAAGGCCTATATTTGATAAAGAGATAAATTAGCACTGTAATTTGTGTACTTTTTTTTACTTCAATATACTTACCATACTTAATTCTGCCAATAAATAAACTTATAATATTATTCTACGATCTAAAAACTTTGATAAGCTTTTAATATGTTGTTGTACAAAATGTCTACTAAACTATATTTACATCCGCTTTTTGTTTACATCCGTTGAAACGAAATGCGCACTCATGCACATTTAGATAATAAGGTGTGCCCGTATTTTTAGGACAGATAAGAACTGAGTATTAATAAAGTATTAATATTTTGAATATATTAATATATTGAAACAATGACAATTTTACTAATGCATATAGATGTCGCTACGTCGTCACCAACACATCGGAAATATAGTCGACTGGAGGTAAACATTGTATTTGAGTTCACAGCGCGTCTGGGCTGTCCCGACGTCCTCATTCTACTTAGATAAATTAATGACCCCAAATAAATAGCACTCCAATTGACTTTTTATCTTCACTCTGAGTATTTATTGAGCGAGCTTTCAACGGATCACTTCCGAATTGACTTGTCTCAATAAATAAACATTATTCTTAGAGAAAGAGTTGTTATAAATGTTTCTCTATTATTGCAGTTCTGTAAATTAGATTGTATTTCGCTATTGAAATAACAGGCGATGCATTAATCATTTTATGAACATGCTGTACGTGCGTATATTCATTACTGTCGTTTTTATAATTGTTCTGAATTGATATGTTAGTGGGCCTGATGGTTAAGGCGTTCGACTCGAAATCTACGGGTCACGTGTTTAATTAAATCCAGTTACCGAACACGATCGCCCTTTCAGCCAGGCAGTGTTATAATAGTGACGGTCAACACCACTTTTCGTTTGTAAAAGAGTTGGCGGAGGGTGATGTTAACTAGTTGCCTTCTCTCTCTAGTCTATCAATTCTAAGTTAGGGATGGCTAGCACATGTAGCACTAGAATAGCTTTGCGTGATATTCAACAAAACAAACACAGCTGAGCTATATCTAGATTTTAACGTCACAGCTAACTGTGTCAGTCTTAATTAATTTCGATGTTAAAAATATTACAAATATATATATATGTATTTAAAACTATAAAGGTGACTTTTGATCACTCTTAACAGACTTTCAAAGAAACATAGGTTATTTATATCGCATAAACAAATTCATTTATGTATATCTTACAACAAACGTTAGCCCGAAGATGTCTCCGAGGGGAGTTGAACCTTTGATTACTCAGTTGTTAAGCTCAAAACTACACAATGGGCTCTCCGTACTCTGCCCATCACGAGTATCGAAACCCATTTTTTAGCGTCCTAAAGCTACAGACTTACCATTGAGCTATTGGTGAGGGGGGACTTCTTACTGTTTATTATAACTCCAAATCAGAAAGTAGTAGCATTACCTGGACACTCTTCAGGATTTATGCACTTTCGGTACGGACCCCGAACCAAGCCTATGTTGCAGAAACATCCTGGTACACATAGTGCTATGCAAAATGTTGGTTTTGAATTACAAGTGGTTCACAAGCTGTCCCACAGGTTTCGAAATGCTCTTTTTCTGGACATTCGTGGCTATTATGGTCTATAAATTTAATAGATTTCATGATTTAACAAAAAGAATAACAATAAATCAATGTAAGGTGGGAAATATATACTGGAAATACAGGGTGTCCGAAAAGTCTAGAATCATAGGTGATTTGTAGGTTTTTAAATTTCAGATACGTGACTGATTATTGCGCTGTGAAAGCACGATAAGGTCTAGTTAATCCTGTTGTGTGGCAGAGAAGGTTAATCCCAGCGGAAGGTTGCTGTCAAAGCTAATGTCGCCATCTAGAGAAAGAGTAAAACACCACTCTCAGTGCTGTTGAGAAGTTGGTAGCTAAGTTTAAGAAGACTGGCAGTGTGGACTGTTGACAATGCTTCGCGGTGATCAAAGAGAATGGAAATACCGTCTCCAAACTTGTTTCGAATTACAAGGACAACATGTGGATCACATTCTGTAAAAGTGCCTCTGATTCCATACTTTTCGAACACCCTGCATGTAACATCTTTATTACGATATTAAATATTATAAAATTGTATAGAATATGGTTGAACTGAACTCATTCCCTGCAAATAAAACTAAGTTTTTGGTTTAGTATATACGCATAAAAATGACAGAAAGGCTAAGTCCAAAGTTCCACCAACACTCCCACTGATATAGACATAAGTTTGAAAACACTCCGATTACCAACCCGCGTCTAAATTTGTAAGAATAAACAAATACGTTTATTACTTTGTATTTATGATGTAGTTCAAAGTACAACAAAATATAAATATATAAAAGTGTTGCTCTGTAGATTTCCATACTTCTGATCGTATAATATATATACAGCCCTGTAATAAATGCCGAGATTCTATGAAATTAAAATAATCATTAGAGAAAAACAAGTGTAAGTTCACAGTTTGATTCCTGTTTTATTTTACGTTTGTTTGTTGTTAAGTGCAAAGATACACAATGGGCCGTCTGTGCTCTGCTACTGAAAGTATCGAAACCCGATTTTTTGCGTTATAAGCCCTCAGATTTACCGCTGAGCCACCGGGGGGGGGGGTATTTTACCTTATTGAAATCTGGGGATATCTTAAAGCTCGAATTCTGAGTCTTAAACAGTTTATAATATATTAGATACTTATATTATAAATATGTTAAATACTGTGATCCTCTAATAGGCCCTCCAATGGCACAGCGGTATGTCTGCGGAATTCCAACGCCAGAAACCTGGTTTCGATACCCGTGGTGGGCAGAGCACAGATAGCCTATTGTGTAACATTGTGCTTAACTTCAAGCAAACAAAACTCGAATATCTCGATATTTGGATCTAAATTACTAAAACTCTTTCAAATACTTGCCAATTTTACTTAAAGTGATAAGCTTATCGATACGGTAATCAAGGTGGAGTCCACTTCTACTTACCGCCACACACTGCTGTTATCAGTAAACATACGAGTAAGGTAGCCGTGTACACTTTAGTCATCCGAGGCATCCTTATTTGTGTGATGTGATCAGTGGCTAATGGGAAATGTTATAACATTTGTGCTCTTAGTTCTTTACCATCAAGTATCGTGATCTTCTTGCTGAGTAAGATTACCGTCACGTGGCTGCGTTTAAAAATGAATTACAGAGCTAAGCGTTTCATTTATCGTGCGATATCGCTAATCAGCGTTTCCTGAAACAGGTTCCAAATTCCAGCAGAGTAAATAGCCCAATGTGGCTTTGCTATAAAACAAGCAAACAAAGAACACGTACCAACTATGCAAAATGTAGCATGGTTACTTCATCAAATTCAGAAAAAAAAGTAGATAACTAACTGTGGATTAATAAAAATACGCTTGAAGCCCAATGTATTCGCCCACCAGTAGCACACATGTATGTCTGCTGAGTTACAACGCTAGAAAGCGGGTTTCGATACATGTGGTGGGCAGAGCACAGATAGCCCATTGTATAGCTTTGTGTTTAACTTCAAACAAACCAAACCCAATCTATTCATTACTTATTACCGAGTTATACCAGTTTTGGGGAATTCCACCCCTCATCAGTAACCCTGGACAAGAGAAATTGAAAGAAAGAAACTATGCTTCTTATTATGTTGGAATGTATATTTATATATGTGGTGTTTTGATGTGTCTTTAGACTGAACCCATATTTATATATGTGGTGTTTTGATGTGTCTTTAGAGTGAACCTATATTTATATATGTGGTGTTTTGATGTGTCTTTAGAGGGAACCTATATTTATATATGTGGTGTTTTGATGTGTCTTTAGAGTGAACCTATATTTATATATGTGGTGTTTTGATGTGTCTTTAGAGTGAACCTATATTTATATATGTGGTGTTTTGATGTGTCTTTAGAGTGAACCTATATTTATATATGTGGTGTTTTGATGTGTCTTTAGAGTGAACCTATAT